TTTACTCGGTAGACAGTGGGTCTACCGGAAAGATGCGGATCTTGTTAGGCTCTAGATACCATGTTGAATATCAAGAACAAGATGATTTATAAGCGGAGAGTCTATTATATAACTCAAAAGAAAGAAAATACAAAGAGATATACATGATGTGGGACTTCTATACTACTATTCTAAACTATTATTTACAGCAATATCCAACTAGAACTAAAATGTCACGATAATAATCCATTAATACCTTTAAAATAAATACATAAAATCTCAAAATACTTTTGGCAAAAATTTAAAAATCATAAAAGATAAAACATAAGAGTAATTGACCAATGCAATTGTCCTTTGTTTTTCTTGGGGCCTAGCCCTTGCTTTTGTTCAAAACAATGATTTTGTTCTTTGTCAGGAAACACTTGTCCAACTTACGTTATGCCAGTCCCTGATATGTCAAACTCCAAATGTATGCAAGAGCGATCAGACTCAGGTTTATGAAGCTCTCTCTGAACAGCAACATTAACCCTTCAAGAAAAGAAACAACAACTTCATTATAGCCTTTTTAGTAAACAATAAAAACAGCCATAAATCGACATGCACAACGCCAAGCACCTGCAAGGATGATGAATATCAAACAGAGCATTCCCATTTGCCCCATTTAAGTGATTATCATTGCATGATGTGACAGTGGAGTCATGAATAACCACTCGATATTCAGGAATCGCAGCCTTATAAGGAGTGGAGACAGTATTTACATCATCCTCATCTCGGAGTAACTGATCCAACTCAGACCATAGAGATTCCTTCCTGCAAAGGAAAATCAAATTCACGACGTTTGAAACAGAAAAAAGCAGAAGCCAAATCCCACATTTCATACAAATTTTATATATCCCCCAATGAATATTATGCATAACAAGACTATACTTACCAAGCAACAAAATCATCCTCAATGGATTGATCATCGTCACCTAGACCCAGTGGAACAAGACGCTTTGCACCTGTGCCGAACATAACTCGACATATAAGAACATATCTATGCAAAGTCAAAAAGTACTATAACACCACTTAAGTCATATATAAAAACTTAGATTCATGTTTTTTCTTGCCATAAATCTCATTTCTATGCATTTAAACATAAATTTGCAAAAAACTGTAATTCAACAACACGAGTTGTTCCTAGATTGTTAAAAAAAAACTAACATAAAATAAAATAAAAAAATTGTATAATTAAATTGCATAAACACAATAATCAAAGAAAGCTGGCGAGTGTGCTTGATAAATCTGGTAATCAATATATTCCTAACAAATATATTATAGTATTTTCTACAAGTTTCAACAAATATTTTCCCGTCCAAATGAAATTCCATCCAATAGACTTCTAGGAAGGCATACTGCCATATTAAATGCTCTGCTTCTAACAGATTGAAGCAGTAGTCCATGAGCAAACAAAACAAAATTGCACAAGTAAATAAATGGTTTTTGGGGCAGGGAAACTGGAGGAAAACAAAAATCTTTGCCACAAATGAAATCAATGAATAAACATGTCATGCTCTTTAGCTGTACCTAGATAACAATAATACCAATAGCATTATGCAATACAAAGGAGCAGATATACCAATTTGATATTTTTGAGAACACAAGAAAATACAGATAATGAAATAACAGACCTTGTTCACTAAGTTCTTCATCAACTATTTTACCTATCTGCTTCACAAGAACAAGATCAGATGATGAATTGTTTTGTTAGATAAACAACATTTAAACCATCTGAATTTACCTTATTAAAATGTTCATATTGCCGATTACCTAAGCCAAAAATGCCATATGTGATCTGTTGAAGCCAGATACCCCTCTCATCTTTACCCTAGAATTATGGCCCCCAAAACTTAGAATCCTTTTAAATACGCTTTAAGAGAGAGAGAGAGAGATTAAATCTAGGATTTACTTAAAAGAGTGATGTGATACTACAAACCTCAGTAAACCATTTGTAGAATCTTGCAGCATTGTCAGTTGGCTCTCCATCTCCATATCTGCATGTGTCAAGTCCAAATGCATCAAATACACCACAGATTTAAAAAAAATTCAACCATTTTTATGTGCGTGAATCTTACGTTGCCAACATGAAAAATGAAAGCGTCTCTTTCTTCAGCTTCTCCTCATATTGATCATCATCCATTGCATAGTCATCCTAGTTCAATTTATATACATCAGACACTTAAGCCAAAGCTACATTTTACAGACTGAAGTTTGGAAGACTTTCCGGAAGTCCCCAAAGAAAACATTTTTAAAAAGTAGCGCATTTTGCTCACTACAACCACAACAGAGGGATTGCCAAATTTCATCCTAATCCAACTTACCAGGTCAACAACTTTGATAGCTGCTTTTTCATACCTTGCCTTGATCTCCTCTGCCAAAGCCTGTAACAAAAATAATAAAGAACAAACAAAAGCAGTGGTTATATAACACACATGATTGACTGTAGATATAAATATAAATTGCTCTATGGAAAACAACAAAATCCCTTAAAATCGGGGCAACCATTAAGCCTTTAGGAAAGGGGGGAAAATAGCTTCATCTTTACACAAAGTAGATTTGCATAAGCCATAATGATTTTCTAGCTAAAATTAGCACATGCTGTAGTTAGCCAATTATAAAATGTAATTGCAGGGACTCATTTTCAAATTGACACCAGCAGCATCCTTGCTTCATGGTGTTTTACTTGGTGTTCCTAAAGGGCCTTAATATAACAAAGAAAAGACATGCCTGAAATAATAGAGCAACCATAAAGCAATTTGATTCACCACCAATACTACTCCCACAGCCCAGGGCTAGCCAAACATAAGACAGCTCAAAAAGTATGAATTTACACGCGCATCTTAATCCTTATGTAACTTCAATCTCACAACTGCCAAATAAATAAGGTTGTAAAGAACCTTGGGATACACTACCCCAGAAGCTAGCTCAAAGGATGGGAATGCCCAAGGCCGGGACTATATATCTCAACAAAGGTTGTCCAGCTAGTAATGGTATAGACACTACCCTTCTTCGTTACAAATAAAAGCACAAAAACCTTGGTTACTGAGAGTAAGAACATATTCTCTAAAAAAAGTTCAGACTGTAACACTGGCCTAGCTCAAACTCAATTGATAATCACTGTTTTATCAAGCACAAGGAAAGTGACCCTGGTCCAGTATCTGAATCACCTTAATTTGGTATGAAAAGAAAAAAAAAATATACATATATATATCCCTTCAAAAACAGTCCGAGGAATAATTTTCAAATATTAAAAAAAAAATTCCAGCATATCTAACGTATCTAGAATCAATTCAACAACACATTTTCAACAAAACCAAAAAGCAACAAGCAAAAAATTACCTAAATATGAATATATATATATACCTTAGCAAAGCCCTCAGCAGTACCAGTCTGAGTACCAAAGAAAACAGTAACCTTGGTCTTCCCCGAGCCAGCGTCGACTTCATCCTCTTCTTCCTTCACCACCAACTTTGGCACTGACAGAAGCTTCGCCTGCTTGCTCCGATCCGAAGATTTCTTCCACACGAACACCAGAAGCCCAATCACCACCGCCACGGATGTGGTCACGATCACCAGCAACGAATCCGAAACCGAATCGCCGAGCGAAATGCCCAGCACTGACTCAACGGTTCGCACCAAATCGGAACTCGAAGCCATTGTTACCGGTAATGATGAAAGAATCCAAGTCCAAATTAAAATTATGTATTTATATTTATATATCAGTAATCAGTAAGTTCTCGTTGCCTTGTGCACAACTCCTCTCGCGCGCGCGCGCGCTCTCTCTCTCTCTATATATATTAAATGTTATATTTTTAAATTTTTTATTTACAAACTATTCGTTATGATCGGTCATACTTCAGTAGTCCAGTTATGTAATTTGTAAAAAGATGGTTTCCTATATATATACGTTTGTGTATTTCACTTTCACTCTGTGAGAGACAGCAGAAGAAGAAGAAGTGGTTGAGCGCGAGAAAGAGAAAGAGAGGGAAATAATGGAGAGGAGCGAAACTGGTGCGATTTATTTGCAAATTTGGGCCACTTTGCATTTTTGTTTGTCATCTGTTTGAAATTAGAGTAAATACTTTTTTTAGTCATGGCAATATCTATGAAGTTCTTTTCAGTTCCTGACAATAAAAAAAGATCAAATTAGTCCCTGAAAGTACAAGAAAAGGGTCACTCTACATATTTGGGAGTTGACATAAGGACTAACATGGTCCTTTTTTTGTAATTTCAGGGACCAATTTGGTCCTTTTTTATTACCAGGGACTAAAAAAAACTTCGTAGATATTGACAGACACTAAAAAAGTTGTTTACTCTTAAAATTAATATGGATTTTTTTTGGGTGATGGGTAGCTCTTGGCGTTGTTTCTTTGGTTGCTTTTGCAGTTTTAACTTTTAAGACAAGCAAGCAACGGGATTGGTGGGTGGGTGACTTGCCAAAAGTTGCTTTATTTTTCCACAGAAAAAACATGCCTTTTCACCCCCCTCATGATTTAATTGCTTATTTATTGTTTTTTATTTTGATTTCTTCATTATTGCTATCCTTGTCAAGAAAATCTCGGGACCCTCATGCATGACAATCTTCGATTGTTAATTCTAATTATTTTCTTTTAGGCTTGTTAGCTCACTTTAATATTTTCATAAACTTTAATTTTTTGAGTTAATTATGAAACTAATCTAAAGTGTAGGACAGATCAGGGATGAAAAATAACCTTTCATTATATTAAGGAGGAAAAACTAAAGTGATATTTGAAGTGGAAATTGGAGAGACGTATATTTTAATCTTGCCTTAAGCACACTTTTTACTTGTTTAGTAATGACAGAGAGTAAAGACAATCCTCATTTACGGTAAGGACTAAGGAGGAAGAAAACAGAACAAGTTTGGAGCGACGTATATTTTTTAGAGGCCCAAATCTCGTTTACATTTTAGAAACAATGCTAACATATCTGGTCATACAAATATAACCTATCACTCTAACCATAGAAGTAGCATTTTGTAATTGCTTGACTGTAAAAGAAATCTCATTTGTGCGTATACTATTAGGAATATTCTTATAATTTAATATTATATCACTATTTTCGTCGTGAAGGTAGATCAACGTATTGGAATTTTTTTTCACCACCATTTAATTTAAGCTAAACTTGTCATTATATTTACATTTGGTATAAAATTAAAATTTAAGAGACAATGTAAAAAAAATGGAGTAAATACTACTAGAGTGGAATCCCTCTCCTTAAAAATTAAGGATGTTTTCAATTCATAAACCTAACATGATGATTCATACAATTGTCTCTTTATCTCCAGCGTAGGAACTACAAACCAATATTTTAAAAATTGAACCAGCGAAAATTGTGGATTATTGTTTGATAAATTTACAACTAAGCTAATGGCTCAACGAAGGGCAACTTCCGTTGAAAGAGAATGCATTCCTCCTCATAGGCTCATAGCTAGTGGTGTAATAGGTCAAGTCAGACTTTGGCATTTATGGTTTAGGCCTACACAAAAAAAGTTCAGCCTATCTAGTTTACGAGCTTATAAAAGGCTTAGTTTAAAGGTCAAGTCTACCCTGTTATTTAAAAATAAAAAAGCCTACATGGCCTATGAGGCCTTTTAAGTCTACCATATTGCAAATTAAATAAATAAATAAAAAATCTCATTCATTAAACAATATTTCCAACATGGGTCCAAATTATAAAAATTCTAAAATAGATTTCTTAACAAAAATACAAATTACAAAATTGTTATACAATTATGTTGATCCAGGACGGGGACATCAAACACCAAGTGCTTGTGAAGCTCCAATTTGTTGTTCTGCCACATTTCATTATTATGTTTTGGTTACATTTCAAGTTCAATTAGCTAGTTAGGTACGACTTAGGCATACATTGATATATATATATATATATATATATATATATATATATATATATATATATATATATATATATATATATAATGTTGACAACGTGTTACGAGACTATATATATATGTTCTCCAACGTGACTATATTAGATTAACCAATTAACATTGACAACATATTTCATGTCATTTTTTATTTTTTAGAATATAAATAACATTGTATGATAAATATATTTTTTATTTAAAAACTTAAACAGGCCAGACTTCTTTATATTTAGCCTACGACCTTATTTTTAAACAGGCTTGCTACAAGCCTTTATCTGTTTTAAGTATTTAATAGGTCGGGCCAGGTCGGGCTTTTCATAGGTCAGGCCGTAGACTATTGTAGGTCGGCCTGACCCATTTACACCCCTACTCATAATGTAACACCCCGTATATATCCGGTAATGTTATCATACTATCGTATTAAGTTGCGCTTAATTAAAATTGCGGAATATCTTTTTCTTTTCAATTATGATGTCACTATCATTACCAACTTGCTTATTAATCAATTAATAAAACATCGTCTGTATGCAATTGCAATAAAACAGCTAACTGAAATACGTCATTAATTAAAACAACAATGTGTATGTCTCTAGTCACGGAACTACAACACGTAGACCGGACCAACTAGCAGTTTATACAACTCAACTCAAAAGTACTAACAACATAGTGGCATGGACAACTCTCATGCTCACCCAAATAAAGCAACAAAATCCAACACAAGTCTCAACTCAAAACAAAAAGAGCAGAAAACATAAACAGCATCCAATCCAGCCATGACAGCAATACAGCATAAATATCATAATCAGCTAAGCTCTGGTCTCCTGCCGCCAAAGGCATCAGTCACCATACTACCTGAACCTGAAATAAGCATTCCCCAAACGTGGGGTGAGATCTCTAAACCAGAAATCTCAGTAAGACAAGGGGTCCTCAAGGATCTTCCATCCCAAGCTCACTCACATGTGCAATATAAGTTTAAAAGCAGTTTATCATCATCAGTTCTAAATCAGTGCAATGCATCAGATAATCATGTCATGTGTGTCAATACTAATCTACTGGCCATAGAAATGCATGATGTACGTCTACAACCCCACAATAAGTACAAGACGCCGCTTGTATCCACCCCGGATCACCGTATTGTATGACGCCACATACTCAGGCTTACCGTCAAGATGGAACAACACATGCATATTAAAAGTCATTAACACATAAAGCTCAACAACAATTCATATATATCAAAGCATGTAACACAACATGCATATAACCATACCCCCATGGGACATGGTGGAACCACAACATGGCTAAACCGAGGACACGAAAGCTTACCTTGCAAGCTAACACCCAAAGCCAAGAGTCCACAGCTCAAAGTCCAAACACAGCAGATTCACAATCTGTTATGGACCAACAATACATCAACAATCATACTCTACAAGTATACAACATAAACACAACGCCTTTTCATTACGTTTTACGTCTTAAGGCTTCTCACCAAGTCATAAGCCCTTAATCATATGATTCTGACTTACACTAATTAATTACAGAAATTCAACTTCCTCCAACTAGGGTCCACAAACCCATATATCAGTTCTGGATGAACAGTACGCTACTGTTCCTCGCAAACCCAGAATATCCGGATATTCCTCGGGGACATATCCGGATATACAATATCCGGATATCTCACAGGCAATATCTGAATATCTCTCTGGCAATATCCGGATATCACTATCCGGATATCCAGATCCCCATATCCGGATATTCCACGGCAAATATCCGGATATTTCGCGACAGAACGCAGTTTCTGCATTTCGCAAAGATATCCTTCCAAGGTTCCATTTTTAACACTTCCAGAAACTTAAACATGCATCTTAAGGTTCATTTATGTTTATATGACAGTTGGTTACTTGTTTAACTCATTAAACATACAAAGACATCAACTTTAACCCATTAAACTCATGAACAAGGTTGGTACCACTTACCAAAGTCCAAAACAGCCAACCAAAGGTGCTCTTGAAGCTCACAAGTTAGCTTCAAGGTGCTGACACAAGGGTGCACGAAAATACTCCTCAAGCAAGGATCTTTCTTCACAAAGTTGGCTCCTTGGAGCTCCAACAACCAAGGAAGAAGCTCACACCCTCACACAAGGCCACTCAGCCCACAAACTGACTTCAAACAGCCCCTCAACTCAGAACCAAAGCTCTCTACACACTCACACATGCCACTCACACAAGGCTCAAGTGTTTACAAGGTGAAAGAGGAGAAGAAGCAAGTAAAAAGGTGACAACTTGGCCTCCAAATGGTGAAGAGAAGGCAAGGAAGCACCAAGTCAGCAAGGTGGCTCAATATTCAAAGGGAGACTCACGTAGAGGCAGCAATTAAAGACCTAGGATAATGTGCACTAAGCTTATATAGTCACTTAACCAATAAACACACAGTATTAACTTTAATTGCTATGCTTAGCGTTTTAATCCCAAACTCAAGATTCTTAACCTATTAAATTTTACAAGAATTATCATATTTTTCTTATATTTTTCGGAACACCTTTCTGGTACGCGCTTTTCATAGCCAGTACCAATTTCCGGCACCAGTTCTCATTATTTTGACTTGAAACTCGTTTTACGAGTCCTACATATTAGCCTAGTAATTATTAAACACTTATTATAATTTTCCGGGATACTTTTTTGATACTCATTTATACCGACTAGCAGAACCGGTATCTGCACTTTTCTTCCGAAAAGCGACTTTCAGCATTCTTACT